TGGTAATACTTTTAAAGTTGCTTTGTGCTTGAAGAAAGTCTGACGCTCTTTGCACCTCAATGAAGCCATTTTCAGCGATATTTATGTAAAACAGGTGTTTATTAATAGCTGACAATATGCTCCTTGTTCTGTATATGTTTTTTTTTTTTATCTTTGACTGTAGCGGCGGTCAGAAAATGTTAGCTTAAATTTTACATCCCAACTCTGTATATACCAGTTATTATGAATTAACCGACTTTAATAATAATAAAAAAAAAAATGCTGAATTTTTTTTAACATTCGTGCTTATATGTAGCTTGGTGAGGGAAACAGACACGTATTCCCAGTACGACGGGGTTTCAGCCTAGCTATAAGATTGAGACATCTTACTTATTATAAAACGCAGATTGTGTGTGTGTGTGTGTGTGTGTGTGTGTGTGTGCGCGCGCGCGTGTGTGTCTGTACGTTTATATATTGGATCGAATTTTCTACATTTTTCAACCGATTTCAACAAAACTTCACAGGACTGCGTAAAATTACCTTGCAGTGGTTCTGACAGCGCCAAAAATTGGAAAAACGCAATTGTTTTTGCTCGAAATCAATTTGAAAACACGATAAAACACGATTCTGTCACCAGAATGAAAGGGGGACAACTCATATCGAGTTATACTTATTATAAAACCCAGGTTGTTTGTGTATGTGTGTGTTCGTTTATATATGGGATCGGATTTCCTACATTTTTCAACCGATTTCAACAAAACTTTTTTTTTTTGGCAGGTAGTGTTTCTTATTGTCTTGCACACTTTTTTTTTCTTTTATTTTTTACATTCAGAATGCTTTAAAAATTCCATTTACAAGACAATTGTTTATAATAAAATTCTATTCAATCGATAGACTCATAACGATTGAAAACAATGTTTTTGTTTGAGTTTGGGTTTGACCAATTCGTAAAAAAAAAAAAACTAATTAAGACATGCGTGCCCGTCAACCTTAAACAATAATCTTTGTCAATTTTATTTTTCAGTCTTTATGATGGTCGATACTTGATCTATCTCTTACTGTTACATTCCCGGGCAACGCCAGGCTCTACTGCTAGTCGAATATATAATTTAGAGATTTGGGTCAAAAATATTAAAGGGATCCGCTTTTCTATGTAATTATTAGTGAGCTACTCTAACTATAGTGTAGTACGTTCGATCCTCACTGAGTGGCCTACATTTGTCGCCAGGCTATAGACTATGCTAAAATTAAAAAAAATGTTTAGAGAAAGATAGATATAAGGAAAGAAGGATCGAAAACGAAAGAGAAGACGCGGGGAGAGAGAGAGAAAGAGAGGGAGAGAGAGAGATTACATGAGGCGGGGATTGAGTTTGTATTAACTAACGGTAAATAAGAAAAGGAGATATTTGGGAAGATAGAATTCAGAAAATGAAGAGAAGAGAGAAAGAGAAAGAAATGGAGAAAGAGAGTGAGAGTGAGATGGAGAGAGGGAGAGAGAGAGAGAGAGAGAGAGCAGGGGTGAATGATAAAAAGAATATGACCTTAAATTATTCCAGATGATTAATAAGTGAGTGATATATATATATATATATATATATATATATATATATATATATATATAGAGAGAGAGAGAGAGAGAGAGAGAAACAGGAGCGAAGAAATTTTAAATTGGCATTTTGAATGCAATTCATTCCAGATTTATGGTAGACATAGATTTTGCAAGACAAAAGAAGTGAAGGAAAACAGACCACCCAGAAGGTGCTAGATATGCCCCCTTCTCACAACCGTGCCTCGGAAGGTAGGGTACTTGAATTGTTTTAAAGAATATGCAACCTTCCAATTATTATTATTATTATTATTATTATTATTTTATATTAAAACGTCGTATTTCGAATCACATCGAGCAAACTTTCATCTCTACATCCGCTTTAATTCGAAAGCACTTTTAGACACTTACTTATTTTGGATGCATGATCTTATACAGGTGGCCTACAACAGTTTAAAAAAAATCGGTCGAAGAGTCTCTGCGACCTACTAATTTAGAAGTTGCAGACAAAAAGCCCTCTTTGTAATTGTAAATACAAATATATGGCGGAGGGCCTCGCCATGGGGTAACGGTTAACAAGCTCATCTTGCGTTTAGTATTGTTGGAAAGAGTTTGATCTTCGTTGTGCTTTTCAAAATCGTGACCTTGTGTCGTGTCAAGCTTAGAAATAATAAAGATAACGATAGTACCCTTTCGATTATACGAAATTTGATTATCTGGACTTCGATTATCCGAACGTGGAATGAACATTGATTTCCTGATTGATGAGACATTACGTGGTTTTACTTTTCTACACGAGAATCTCGTTTTGTTATACTTTGTGATCTTACTCGTTGAAATTGAAGTGGCCTTGAATTCGAATGCAAGAGTCAAATCAAACAGGGCAGTGTTATCTGTTGAGGAGAAAGTAAATGTTCGTGATATAGTATGGAAGAAATTTTCAAAATCCAAGATCATGACGAAATATAATATTGAGAATTACACAGTCAACGATATTTTGAAAATCAAGGAAAATCTTAAGAATTTTAAATGAATGGAGTGCGTCAGATGCTCAAAATCCATGAAAATGTGGAAACATCGACAAATTTGAGAGTGCTTTATATTGATTTTTCGACATTTCGAAAGGATTTCCGGCCATTGGTGTTATTCCCCTTGAGAAGGCATCTGAATTTCGCTTTTTTTCATAAAAGATAAACTGGAAAAGACCTTGAACAAATCATTTGAACATGTCTTTTTATGGTGTAAATGTCAAATTTCTTTCAGAAAATGATTTTTTTTCTTCGTTCCCTTTCGATAATTTAGATATTCATTTATCCGGAATTTTGAATTACTCAATTATCAACTTTGTTCGGATAATCGAGAAACTATTGTATATGATTTATATTTTCCATATATATATATATATATATATATATATATATATATGCCCAAACTGAATGTTCATTATATGTTATTATAAAACCACATTATATATATATATATTGCATTTCCCAACTCCCATCGATAGTAGAAATAATCGATTTTTTTATGCTTCTACGGCAGTTTTCATGTAGTTTGCGGTACTGGTCAGAATGAGAGCCTATAGCTGGCTGCCACGAATAGGCAGGAAGATTCTATTGGCCGGCGTGAGAGCCAAAAGCTGACTGACACGAATGTTAACTAGCATGCTAGCATGCAAAAAAAAAAAAAAAAAAAATCGATAGCTGCATTCGTCACAAGTGGGAAAAATTTAAATCTGCATGGCACTTTACTCCAATTGGCTCATTCGCTTGCTTAAACTCAACGTTGATTCTGATTCCGCAGAACTGGGTTGGGTGTGAAAAAGTATTTGTTAACATTCTTTTTTCATTCGGTTTTTCCAGTTACGAGTCCTTTTTTAAAGCTGATCGTTTTGTGTTCATTTTGTTTAGTTCTTTTTTCGTAACAGATTTAATGTTTAGTATAGAGCTTAGAAAAAATTCGCAGTGTGAGATAGGCAAGAAGTAAGGCTTGTAGCAACATCAGCACGGCAAAGGGCACTCCTTTAAAGGCAAGTAAGGGCAAAAATATTTTAAGTCAAGTGATAACGATTGCTGTATGAGTCGTACGATTTTTGAATCAAGCACGGGTAACGCCGGACCATGCTGCTAGTATATATATATATATATATATATATATATATATATATATATATATATATATAATATCGTTTTATAATGACATATAATGAATATTCAGTTTGGGTATATATATATATATATATATATATATATATATATATATATATATTATGGTTAACAAGCTAATTTTACTAAATTATTATATTATTGTCGGCTACCGTAGTGCAAAAAGGTCTACTAAACATTTGCTCATGTAAAGTTGAATCCTTATATGTTGGCCCTATGTCATACTAAGTTATGCTTAGACTAAGTTATGCTTATTAAACAGCTGACGTGGAACAAAACAGCTAAGCATACCAGTGCTAATTTAGAGAATTTAGAGAATTAGATCATCGCTAGGTGCCTCACTTTCATGACCTTATGTCAGACTAAACAAAGCTTGGTAAAACACAACAGGCACAGATACATACGTGCATACGTACAATGTTAAGTATGAATGCAAAAGTTTATGTGAAAACTTTTCTCTTTGGTCACACGTTTGACTCAAAGCCAAAAAACGTTAAAATTTCTTCAGGGAGATGTCAAAGAGGTTATTCACCATAATCAAAATTCTTTTGAAATACTGACATTTCACGATATCGAAAATTCTATTCATATCATGACTTTTTTTTAAAAACGTTTATTCGCGATATGATTCATGGAAAGACTATGTAGCTGAATATGGCTTCTATGCGTAGCTTAGATGTGGCACAAAGCCGAAAGTATGGAGCATCAAGTGAGGATCGAACTCACTACTCAGTCGTAATTGTTCTAGCGAGACAAACTTGATAATCATTACAACACATCGAGGTGGCTAAATTTATTAAGTGAAGCTTAGATGTGGTACAAGACAGAAAGTATGGAGCACCCATTGAGCATCGAACATACCATTCAGTCGTAATTGTTCTAGCGAGATAAGCTTGCTAACCATTACGCCATGTCGAAGTGCCCCGGCGTAGTTGAATATGTGTGGAAAATTTATCAGCACAGTTTGCAATGCAAAGAAAAAATGCCAGCCACCGACTGCTCTCATAAAGAAGAGTTTTACAGCAAAAGAAAACAAAAATGTTGATGTTTGCTTTAAAATGAATATATTTTCTTACATGTGGTCGAGAATAGAGCGAAACAGATGTTTAAGCTTGTTTTTTTTGGTCCTGACTTCTTGAATCTTGTAAGATACCAGTGATAATGTAAAAATGTGGGAAAATAAAAAAAACGAAATCCAAAAATTTTCATCGTATTAATTTCATCGCAATAAAACAAAGAATATCAAATTACAAGCATTCGAAATAAAAAATAAAACAGCCTACGGAATAATTAAAATGACAACCAATGTCTTACACTGCAAAAAGAAAAATGATATAGATAGATACGAATAGGGTGAAGTAAATATAAACAGAAATGGGAAAGTACAACGATGAATGACATAAACAGAAAAAATAGAATGATGAATGAAGTAGAGAGGAAAAAATGAAACGATGACTGAAGGAGACGGAAAAAGTTGAATGATGAATGAAGTCGAGAGGAAAAGTACAATGATGAATTATATATAGTAGAGAGGAAAAGTACAATGATGAATGAAGTAGAGAGGTAAAGTACAATGATGAATGAAGTAGAGAGGAAAAGTACAATGATGAATGAAGTAGAGAGGTAAAATACAATGATGAATGAAGTAGAAAGGAAAAAGTACAATGATGAATTATAGTAGAGAAAAAAGTACAATGATGAATGAAGTAGAGAGGTAAAGTAAAAATGAAGTACAATGATGAATGAAGTAGAGAGGAAAAGTACAATGATGAATGAAGAGGAAAAGAAGAAAAAGTAGAATGATGAATGAAGTAGAGAGGAAAAGTACAATGATGAATGAAGTAGAGAGGAAAGTACAATGATGAATTATAGTAGAGAGGAAAAGTACAATGATGAATGAAGTAGAGAGGTAAAGTACAATGATGAATGAAGTAGAGAGGAAAAGTACAATGATGAATGAAGTAGAGAAGAAAAGTAGAATGATGAATGAAGTAGAGAGGAAAAGTACAATGATGAATGAAGTAGAGAGGAAAAGTAGAATGATGAATGAAAAGTACAATGATGAATGAAGTAGAGAGGTAAAGTACAATGATGAATGAAGTAGAGAGAAGTAGAGAAGAAAAGTAGAATGATGAATGAAGTAGAGAGGAAAAGAAATGATGAATGAAGTAGAGAGGTAAAGTACAATGATGAATGAAGTAGAGAGGAAAAGTACAATGATGAATGAAGTAGAGAGGTAAAGTACAATGATGAATGAAGTAGAGAGGTAAAGTACAATGATGAATGAAGTAGAGAGGTAAAGTACAATGATGAATGAAGTAGAGAGGAAAAGTACAATGATGAATGAAGTAGAGAGGTAAAAGTACAATGACGAATGAAGTAGAGAGAAAAGTACAATGATGAATGAAGTAGAGAGGTAAAGTAAAAGTACAATGATGAATGAAGTAGAGAGGTAAAGATGAATGAATTAGAGAGGTAAAGTACAATGATGAATGAAGTAGAGAGGTAAAGTACAATGATGAATGAAGTAGAGAGGAAAAGTACAATGATGAATGAAGTAGAGAGGTAAAGTACAATGACGAATGAAGTAGAGAGGAAAAGTACAATGATGAATGAAGTAGAGAGGTAAAGTACAATGATGAATGAATTAGAGAGGTAAAGTACAATGATGAATGAATTAGAGAGGTAAAGTACAATGATGAATGAAGTAGAGAGGAAAAGTACAATGATGAATGAAGTAGAGAGGTAAAGTACAATGACGAATGAAGTAGAGAGGAAAAGTACAATGATGAATGAAGTAGAGAGGTAAAGTACAATGATGAATGAAGTATATAGAAAAAAAATGAAACGATGAATGAAGGAGACATAAAAAATATGATGGTGAGTAAAGGAGATGTATGAAGTACAATGATGAATGGAGACAGAAAAATACAAAGATGAATGAAGTCGACAGAAAAATGTGCAATAATGACTATAGATCTTTTTGACAACAATTTTACCTTTAGGAAAATGTCAAATGAGAACTGTATGAATGTAGAAAACTTGAATGATCCGGTATTTTCCAAACAAACCACACAGGAAACATGAAGTGGTGATATTCGAAATAGCTGGATACTTTCCGAACATTCTATGAGATTTCCAGATTTTCATTTTTCTTTTTACTTTAACTCCCCGAATACAAGGCCTAAGGTCAACACAAGGTAAAGTATTACTTGACAGGATTGCTGTAAGGGAGGAGATGGGAGAGAGCAGCAAATGCATATTATGATATGTAGGATAGATAAAAGTTGACCCTAGACTTGAAGAGTTTAAGATTGTGGCGTTCAGAGAAGCATCCTCCTGGGAGTCTGTTCTACAAAGAAAAAGTTCTGGGGAAGAAGATGTCTGAGTAAAACTTACACCTTAACAAAGGATCACGAAGGGAATGGGGATAATTTGGCACTGTGTACAAAGCATGGTCAGTTCATGCTTTAAATTTTCATACGACCACTCGCTAATACTCTTTAATTGCAGCACGCACGTGTTCAATATTTTTGGAGATTTCTGCTTGTTGAAGGCTTTCGCAAAAAGTGGGCCGCTTTGAATCGATTCTTGAACAAGTTTGAAGCATCGATACTAAACTTTTATCTTGGCTTTGTTCATTGAATCTCCCACGAAAGCCTTCCTTATTATTCGATTCTTTTCCGCCAACGAATGTCTCAGTTTAAAGAAAAAAATGTGTAACGGTCAAGCACAACACAAGCTCATTCAATGGCATTTCACTATTGACTGAGCCACTCTGCGCGAAAGTGTTTGTTTACACCTCACCCGCCACCAGTCAGTCTTCTCTGATTGGTTGCTAAATTACAGTAAGGTCGAGAAACCAGTTCTCGTGAATGGCTTTATCCTTTCCAGACAGATTTAATACATAATTAATTAGTTTTTTTAAATTTGTGGTCAGTGTTCGAAACCACCTATAGGCACGAATTTTCAATGCTGATTTTTATGACGTACATGTCTCCTCCAGTTGGATGTTTGGCGCACCACATTCTACCTTCATCTAGTGGCCCTGTGCCGTTATTAAACTAAAATGAATAAACTACACCATCAATTATTCTTCTGAAATTAAAAAAAAAATAATTTTACTTTTTATTTTAGTGAGCAGTCGTAATTCCTTTTATCAATTTGACAGGGTGCTGAAAAGTTCTCGCCCTCACTGACTTTCTATAATATTAAAAATCTTTATTTGGAAGCGTTTCTTTTTTTATCTTTTTGTTTAAATCACTGTTGTAAATCTCTGTTGATATGGAAGTTAAATTGATAGCAAACAACATGATAGAAAAAAATAAAGAGAGAGAGAGATTAAGAAAAAGAAAAAGGGAAATTAAAAGCAAGAAAGAAAGAGAGAGAGAGAGAGAAAGAGTGAAATCGAGAAAAAGTGCGATAGAGTAAATAATTTATTTAATAACTATTAAAGCTAGTCCGGTTGCCCATTCTGTAGTGGGTTCGATCTTCACTGGGTGCTCTGTACTTGTTTCCTTGTGCCAGACTAAGCTAAGCTTATTAAATAATAAGAGCACTTTTGCATCATTCACATAGAACATTATACAGTGAAAATTCCAGATCAAAATTCAGCTAATAACCATGTCAAACGGAAGACTTATTAATGCACCCTCGTACTTCTATGTATAAATCATCGTGATTTGAGTTTTATACGTTAGAATTAAAATTTTTATACAAAGGATAAAATTATCGACCGCACAATCAGTTTGATGCAGAAATATCTAACGTTTTGATCCCAATAAAGTTAAATCTCGTGAAATGACACGATAATGCCGTGTTATATCTGAGAAATAAATCAGTCAGTGATGTTACTTTTAGATTGATGATGCCTTTGTTTTAGAAAGGTTTCACTATAAATTTCCTGATGATTCATGACCGGGTGTGCAGTGAAGCTGATCACCTGACTTCAGTTGCATGCCGATGTCTGAGTACCTATTATTGATGTTCCACTTAGTGACATTGTCAACCCATTTCTTCCCTCTGTCTGCCACGGCTTCTTTTACCTAAGGTGGTATCTTATAGGATGATAGCGGAAAGATTGTGTAACATTCTCCAGCGCCTCTATGCAGACTTATCTCAATGAGAATCTACCAGGAAGATCGATTGAGCGTGCCAGTGATAATGACAGTGCGTTGTTGAAATGGCCACCACGTTCATTCGAATTGACACCTTGTGATTTTTTCTATGGAGCTCTGTGAACAGGCAGTTTTATATCTCCCCTCTTCCTACAAGCTTAGAGGAACTTAAGCAGAGGCGCTGGAAAATGTTACGCAAGACATGCTACAGCGTGTTTGGCAGGAGCTGGACTACCGACTTGATGTGTGTTGTCACAGGTGGGGCGCATATTGAACATTTGTGAAGCTTTATGAAATCGGTTATAAAATTTACATCCCTTTGAATATCTTGTTTAAATTTTGATAAATAAATCTTTTATTTTTCAACATGAAGCCTATTTAATTTCGTTTACCTGGGACATATAGTTACTCAGATATTCACATTTTAAATGATGTCAGTTTTGGGTGGACATCCTGGATACTCTTCTGTTATCTGAGAGTTGAAAGAAAATGCAAAATATGCTTTCTTTAACATTTTTCAATGAGTGTTCCTTTGCATTAAATAGAACATTCACGGTATCTACATGCGGACTTTAGTCCTTATCGTTTTTGTCATTATCACAACGTTTCGGCCGCTGAGCACTCTCTTCAGAAAAAGTGTATACTTGGACTCAGTGAAAATGGAGCAATAATCGAGCAGTATTAAATAAGAACTAGACGAAATATCCCCAGACATGGTCAGCGGAACGAGAACAATCTACCTCCATTGATAATAAATAAAGGTCCAAATTCCCCTATTGGTTATGGAAATCGGCAAACACCTAATAAAGGTTGATGAGCACTTCGGTCATAAAGTTGTAAGACCTGATTGAGTTAATTTCTGTGACCGTCACATTCACAATGATTGAGCAAGTAAAATTAGCACAGTTCTTTTCTTTTTTCTTTTTTGTAAAATATCGCTATGTTCGAGTCTGGAAGGATGTGGCTAGCAGTCCTGATTTGGATCCACGTCACGTAACTTTACTCAAGTCTAAAATCGCTGTTAAAATGATGTCGATGATATGAAGGAGGTAGGATTTTTCCGAATGTTTTGAAAAGTACAAGGAACGCAGAGATAGGAAGGACAAAATCACAAGGAGAGTTTTTCGAAGTGAACCAAGGTGCAAGGGCTCTAGATATGCCTATTTTTGGTTAATATTAAATAGTTGGATAAGCTCCTTGTATTTTATTTTATTAAAAGTGGTCAACAATTACATAATATGAGAAAACAGAAGAACTTCTACCGTCCCTGCAAGATGGTGTTATGTATGTGTTCCCCCGTCCCTGAAAGATGGTGTGTGTATGTGTTCCCCCGTCCCAGCAAGATGGTGTATGTATGCGTTCCAACGTCCCTGTAAGATGTTGTGTGTATGTGTTCCCCGTCCCTGCAAGATGGTGTGTGTGTTTCCCCCGTTCCTGCAAGATGGTGTATGTATGCGTTCCCCCGTCGCTGCAAGATGGTGTTATGTTGTGTGTGTTCCCCCGTCCCTGAAAGATGGTGTGTGTACGTGTTCCCCCGTCCCTGCAAGATGGTGTCTGTATGTGTTCCCCCGTCCCAGCAAGATGGTGTATGTATGCGTTCCAACGTCCCTGTAAGATGTTGTGTGTATGTGTTCCCCCGTCCCTGCAAGATGGTGTGTATGTGTTCCCCCGTTCCTGCAAGATGGTGTATGTATGTGTTCCACCGTCCCAGCAAGATGGTGTATGTATGTGTTCCAACGTCCCTGTAAGATGGTGTGTGTATGTGTTCCCCCGTCCCTGCAAGATGGTGTATGTATGTGTTCCAACGTCCCTGTAAGATGGTGTGTGTATGTGTTCCGCCGTCCCAGCAAGATGGTGTATGTATGTGTTCCAACGTCCCTGTAAGATGGTGTGTGTATGTGTTCCGCCGTCCCTGCAAGATGGTGTATATGTGTTCCCTCGTCCCTGCAAGATGGTGTGTGTATGTGTTTCCCCGTCCCTGCAAGATGGTGTGTGTATGTGTTCCCCCGTCCCTGCAAGATGGTGTATGTATGTGTACACTCGTCCCTGCTAGATGGTTCATGTATGTGTTCCCCCGTCCCTGCAATATGGTGTGTGTATGTGTTCCCCCGTCCCTGCAAGATGGTGTATGTATGTGTTTCCCCTTCCCTGCAAAATGGTGTATGTATGTGTCCCCTGTCCCTGTAAGATGCTGTATGTATGTCTGCCCCCGTCCCTGCAAGATTGTGTGTGTATGTGTTCCCTCGTACCAGCAAGATGGTGTATGTATGTGTTCCCCCGTCCCTAAAAGATGGTGTTGTATGTGTTACCCCGTCCCTGCAAGATGGTATATGTATGTGTTCCCCGTCCCTGCAAGATGGTGTATGTATGTGTTCTCCCGTCCCTGCTACAATTTTGTGTGTATGTGTTCCCCCCGTCCCTGCAAGATGGTGTATGTATGTGTTTCCCCCGTCCCTGCAATATGGTGTGTGTATGTGTTCCCTCGTCCCTGCAAGATGTGGTATGTATGTGTTCCCTCGTCCCTGCAAGATGGTGGATGTATGTGTTCCCCCCGTCCCTGCTACAATTTTGTGTGTATGTGTTCCCTCGTCCCTGAAGATGATGTATGTATGTGTTCCCTCGTCCCTGCAATATGGGGTATGTATGTGTTCCCCCGTCCCTGCAAGATGGTGTGTATGTGTTCCCCCGTTCCTGCAAGATGGTGTATGTATGTGTTCCACCGTCCCAGCAAGATGGTGTATGTATGTGTTCCAACGTCCCTGTAAGATGGTGTGTGTATGTGTTCCCCCGTCCCTGCAAGATGGTGTATATGTGTTCCCCCGTCCCTGCAAGATGGTGTGTGTATGTGTTTCCCCGTCCCTGCAAGATGGTGTATGTATGTGTTCCAAAGTCCCAGCAAGATGGTGTATGTATGTGTTCCCGCGTCCCTGCAAGATTGTGTGTGTACGTGTTCCCCCGTCCCTGCAAGATGGTGTGTGTATGTGTGCCCCCGTCCCTGCAATATGGTGTGTGTATGTGTTCCTCCGTCCCTGCAAGATGGTGTATGTATGTGTTTCCCCTTCCCTGCAAAATGGTGTATGTATCTGTTCCCCCGTCCCTGTAAGATGCTGTATGTATGTCTGCCTCCGTCCCTGCAAGATTGTGTGTGTATGTGTTCCCTCGTACCTGCTACAATTTTGTGTGTATGTGTTCCCCCGTCCCTGCAAGATGGTGTATGTATGTGTTTCCCCGTCCCTGCAATATGGTGTGTGTATGTGTTCCCTCGTCCCTGCAATATGGGGTATGTATGTGTTCCCCCGTCCCTGCAAGATAGTGTATGTATGTGTTCCCCCGTCCCTGCAAGATATGTGTGTACATGTTGCCCCATCCCTGCAAGATGGTGTATGTATGTGTTCTCTCGTCCCTGCAAGAAAGGTGTGTGTATGTGTGCCCCCGGTCCTGCAAGATTGTGTATGTATGTGTTACCCCGTCCCTGCAAGAAAGGTGTGTGTATGTGTTCCCCCGTCCCTGCAAGATGGTGTGTATGTGTTCCCCCGTTCCTGCAAGATAGTGTATGTATGTGTTCCACCGTCCCTGCAAGATGGTGTATGTATGTGTTCCAACGTCCCTGTAAGATGGTGTATGTATGTGTTCCCCCGTTCCTACAAGATAGTGTATGTATGTGTTCCACCGTCCCTGCAAGATGGTGTATGTATGTGTTCCAACGTCCCTGTAAGATGGTGTGTGTATGTGTTCCAACGTCCCAGAAAGATGGTGTGTGTATGTGTTCCCGCGTCCCTGGAAGATGGTGTGTGCACGTGTGCCCCCGTCCCTGCAAGATGGTGTATGTATGTGTTTCACCGTCCCTGCAAGATGCTGTATATATGTGTTTCACCGTCCATGCAAGATGGTGTATGTATGTGTTCCCCGTCCCTGCAAGATGCTGTATGTACGTGTTCCCCCGTCCCTGCAAGATTGTGGGTGTATGTGTTCCCTCGTACCTGCAAGATGGTGTATGTATGTGTTCCCTCGTCCCTGAAAGATGGTGTTGTATGTGTTACCCCGTCCCTTCAAGATGGTGTATGTATGTGTTCCCCCGTCCCAGAAGATGGCCTATGTATGTGTTCCCCCTCCCTGCAATATTGGGTATGTATGTGTTCCCCCGTCCCTGCAAGATAGTGTATGTATGTGTTCCCCCGTCCCTGCAAGATATGTGTGTACGTGTTGCCTCATCCCTGCAAGATGGTGTATGTATGTGTTCTCTCGTCCCTGCAAGAAAGGTGTGTGTATGTGTTCCCCCGTCCCTGCAAGATGGTGTATGTATGTGTTCCCCCCGTCCCTGCAAGATGGTGTGTGTGTCTGTGTTCCCCCGTCCCTGCAATATGGTGTGTGTATGTGTTCCCTCGTCCTGCGAGATGGTGTATGTATTTGTTCCCTCGTCCATGCAAGATGGTGTATGTATGTGTTCACCCGTCCCTGCAATATGGTGTGTGTATGTGTTCCGACGTCCCTACAAGATGGTGTATGTATGTGTTCCCCCGTCCCTGAAAGATAGTGTATGTATGTGTTCCCCCGTCCCTGCAAGATGGTGTGTGTATGTGTTCCCTCGTCCCTGCAAGATGGTGTGTGTATGTGTTCCCTGTCCCTGCAAGATGTTGTATGTATGTGTTCCCCCGTCCCTGCAAGATGGTGTATGTATGTGTTCCCCCGTCCCTGCAAGATGGTGTATGTATGTAATCCCTCGTCCCTGCAAGATGGTGTATGTATGTGTTTCCCCGTCCCTGCAAGATGGTGTATGTATGTGTTCCCCCGTCCATGCAAGATGGTGTATGTATGTGCTACCCGTCTCTTCAAGATGGTGTATGTATATGTTCCCTCGTGCCTGCAAGATGGTGTATGTATGTGTTCCCTCGTCCTTGCAAGATGGTGTATGTATGTGTTCCCCCGTCCCTGCAAGATGGTGTATGTATGTGGTCCTCCGTCCCTGCAACATGGTGTGTGTATATGTTCCCCCGACCCTGCAAATGGCGTATGTTTGTGTTCCCCCGTCCCTGCAAGATGGTGTATGTATGTGTTCCCCCTCCCTGCAAGATGGTGTATGTATGTGTTCCCCCGTCCCTGAAAGATAGTGTATGTATGTGTTCCCCCGTCCCTTAGAGATGGTGTATGTATGAGTGCCTTCGTCCCTTCGAGATGGTGTATGCATGTGTTCCCCCGTCCCTGCAAGATGGTGTGTGTATGTGTTCCCCCGTCCCTGCAAGATGGTGTATGTATGTGTGCCTTCGTCTCTGCAAGATGGTGTGTGTACGTGTTCTCCCTCCCTGCAAGATGGTGTGTGTATGTGTTTCCTCGTACCTGCAAGATGGTGTGTGTATGTGTTCCCCCGTCACTGCAAGATGGTGTGTGTATGTGTTTTCCCTTCCCTGCAAGATGGTGTATATATGTGTGCCCTCGTCCCTGCAAGATGGTGTGTTTATGCGTTTCCCCGTCCCTGCAAGATGGTGTGTGTATGTGTTCCAACGTCCCAGCAAGATGGTGTGTGTATATGTTCCCCCGTCCGTGCAAGATGGTGTGTACGTATTCCCCCGTTCCTGATAGATGGTGTTGTATGTGTTCCCCCGTCACTGCAAAATGGAGTATGTATGTGTTTCCCCATCCCTGAAAAATGGTGTTGCATATGTTCCCCCGTCCCTGCAAGATGGTGTATGTATGTGTTCCGTCGTCCCTGCAAGATATGTGTGTACGTGTTCCCCCCTCCCTGCAAGATATGCGTGTACGTGTTCCCTCGTCCCTGCAAGATTGTGTATGTATGTGTTCCCCCGTCCCTGCAAGATTGTGTATGTATGTGTTCCCCCGTCCCTGCAAAATATATGTGTACGTGTTCCCCCGTCCCTGCAAGATACGTATGTACGTGTTGCCCCATCCCTGCAAGATGGTGTATGTATGTGTTCTCTTGTCCCTGCAAGAAAGGTGTGTGTATGTGTGCCCCCGTCCCTGCAAGATGGTGTATGTATGTGTTCCCCCGTCCCTGCATGATGGTGTATGTATGTGTTACCCGTCTCTTCAAGATGGTGTATGTATGTGTTCCCTCATGCCTGCAAGATGGTGTATGTATGTGTTCCCTCGCCCTTGCAAGATGGTGTATGTATGTGTTCCCCCGTCCCTGAAGATGGTGTATGTATGTGTTCCTCCGTCCCTGCAACATGGAGTGTGTATATGTTCCCCCGTAACTGCATGGTGTTGTATATATGTGTTCCCCCGTCTCTGCAAGATGGTGTATGTGTTCCCCCGACCCTGCAAGATGGTGTATGTATGTGTTCCATGGTCCCTGCAAGGTGGTGTATGTATGTGTTCCCCCTCCCTGCAAGATGGTGTATGTATGTGTTCCCTCGTCCCTGCAATATGGTGTATGTATGGGTTCCCCCGTCCCTGAAAGATAGTGTATGTATGTGTTCCCCCGTCCCTGCAAGATGGTGTATGTATGTGTTTCACCGTCCCTGCAATATGGTGTATGTATGGGTTCCCCCGTCGCTGAAAGATAGTGTATGTATGTGTTCCCCCGTCCCTGAGAGATGGTCAATGTATGAGTGCCTTCGTCCCTTCAAGATGGTGTATGTATGTGTTCCCCCGTCCCTGCAAGATATGTGTGTACGTGTTCCCCCTCCCTGCAAGATGGTGTGTGTATGTGTTCCCTCGTCCCTGCAAGATGGTGTATGTATGTGTGCCTTCGTCCCTGCAAGATGGTGTGTGTATGTGTTCCCCCGTCCCTGCAAGATATGTGTGTACGTGTTCTCCCTCCAGCAAGATGGTGTGTGTATGTGTTCCCTCGTACCTGCAAGATGGTGTGTGTATGTGTTCCCTCGTCCCTGCAAGATGGTGTGTGTATGTGTTTTCCCGTCCCTGCAAGATGGTGTATATATGTGTGCCCTCGTCCCTGCAAGATGGTGTGTTTATGCGTTTCCCCGTCCCTGCAAGATGGTGTATGTATGTGTTCCAACGTCCCAGCAAGATGGTGTGTGTATGTGTTCCCCCGTCCGTGCAAGATGGTGTGTACGTGTTCCCCCGTCACTGCAAAATGGAGTATGTATATGTTTCCCCATCCCTGAAAGATGGTGTTGTATATGTTCCCCCGTCCCTGCAAGATGGTGTATGTATGTGTTCCCCCCTCCCTGCAAGATATGCGTGTACGTGTTGCCCCATCCCTGCTAGATGGTGTTTATGTGTTCCCTCGTCCCTGCAAGATTGTGTATGTATGTGTTCCCCCGTCCCTGCAAGATATATGTGTACGTGTTCCCCCGTCCCTGCAAGATATATGTGTACGTGTTGCCACATCCCTGCAAGATGGTGTATGTATGTGTTCCCCCGTCCCTGCAAGAAAGGTGTGTGTATGTGTGCCCTCGTCTCTGCAAGATGGTGTATGTATGTGTTCCCTCGTCCCTGCAATATGGTGTGTGTATGTGTTTCCCCGTCCCTGTAAGATGGTGTATGTATGTGTTCCCCCGTCCCTGCAATACGGTGTGTGTATGTGTTCCCTCGTCCTGCGAGATGGTGTGTGTATGTGTTCCCCCGTCCCTGCAAGATGGTGTGTGTACGTGTTCCCCCGTCCCTGAAAGATGGTGTTGTATATGTTCCCCCGTCCCTGCAAGATGGTGTATGTATGTGTTCCGCCGTCCTTGGAAGATATATGTGTACGTGTTCCCCCGTCCCTGCAAGATATGCGTGTAGGTGTTGCCCCATCCCTGCTAGATGGTGTTGTATGTGTTCCTCCTCCCTGCAAGATGGTGTATGTATGTGTTCCCCCGTCCCTGCAAGTTGGTGTGTTTACGTGTTCCCCCGTCCCTGTAAGTTGGTGTATGTATGTATTCCCCCGTCCTTGCAAAATCGTGTGTGTATGCGTGTGTCTATGTATGCGTACGAAGGAAGTCAGATGGTAATGTCAAAGAATAACGAACACAATATAAAAATTATATGAATGCTTGATTTAGCGCCCCCCTTCGAATAAGGAATTTAAAATAAGCACCCCTCTCAAATAAGCTTTCCTCTCGAATAAGAACCGCAGTTTAACTAAACGAATATATTTGAGAAACGAATGAGAGAGAGGCAGTGAGAGTTAAAAAAAGAAGTTAGTGTAACTGACAGTAAATTGAACATTCACAGTATTTACATGCGGACCATTGTCTTTATCTTTGTTGGTATTATCACAACTTTTCGGTTGTTTCCCCCCCCCCAGCCTTCAGTATATAACATATTTTTTAAAAATACATGTCTACATAAAGGGCCCGATATTCTTATCCGTCCATAGTCAAACTGATACTGTCCTCATATCCTGGCTTTCTTCTACCAAGAAGGATCATCTAATGATTCTCTGAGTAATATAAATATAGGTAATACATCCCATCAAAAAAACAAAACAAAACAAAACAAAAAAAAACAAACAAAAATCAGGAGCTAGACCAATTCTTAATCTCCAATGATGTTTTCAACCGTCAACCAAATCCTATGGTTTGCTCCCAGGTGGAGCGATGATTTCACCAGAGCTTGGTAAATATTCCGACTGATGACCATGGCGTAGTGCTAAGCAAGTTAATCCCGAAGTAAATTCTATTCTCACTGGGTGACCTACATTTGTAGCTTGGTGGTAGAACTAAACTGAGCTTTACTAAACTTAGTAATTAAAATCACCGTTTTTGAACTTCGGCGATTGTTGCTACAGAATTTCAAAGAACTGTACCAAATAACAGAAACCCCATCACTTGAGGACTTTCAGAAGCAGTAACAACTAATATGGATAACGCATGTAACTCGAAGAGAAAATAATGACATAATCAAGATGTTGACGTTTCACACTACTTTAAACAAAAGGTTAGTAAGGAAACTTCCCGTCAATACTGGCAAGAGCGATAACAGCTACTGAACTTGAGAAACTCATTTAACTGACAAAAACGTTTTAAGAGAAAGTATTTATAAATTTCAACTAACTCTAGCGCTGGTTCAATAAATGGCATATGTTTTCTTATAAGGAAACAGCTATTATTAGCATTACCATTTGGATGCCAGTCATAAAATAATAATAATGAAAATGATAGTCTAAATATTAGGAAGGTTTTGACTAACCTGATCAATGATGTGGATTATTCCGTTGCTAGCTTCGTTGTTTGGACGTAAAATCCGAGCGCAGTTTACAGTGCCAACCTGAAATAAAAAGAGATTTGATGCTAATAATCACAGGATATCATTGAACATATTCGTTCGGAGTAATGATTAGGAAGCTAAACTCGTATATCAATTACTACTTAGTAGTAATCTAGATTCTCATTTGGCACCCCATAATTGTGGCCTTGTGCCAAAAATGACCTACGCTTAGTAAATAATAACTATTTCAATATTTTGCGTGTAAATGTTTAAATAAGAAAATCTTCCAAATATTTTTTGAGCTTCATAAAGACAAAAAGTTTTTTATCACTAAAATCTGTAACCCTCTACCTCGAGTGGCTATTGAGCCTTATACAGGGCGAACATCATTGTAAAAAGAAAAAAGAAGTAAATCACACTATAGATTTGAATTAAATCTCAGCTATGACCAAATCTGATTGTTTTTTTTTTTTACATCAACCCTTTTTAAGTTATTTGAAGCCAGAGAATATTTTTATATTGTAAGGAATTTTTGGCGATAATAATGATTTACTAATAAAAGTCTTACTAATTAACCCATACGTTAGGGCGAGAAGAAGCGGCAGATCCATATCTTTCCAAAAGTGAATGCAGCGAACCCAACTGAAGATGAAACGCGGCTCTCCGATTCCAGATTCCGAGCCGTTAACCATTACACCACCCAGACATCCAAGCTTCCAGTCTCTGCTATGTCGCCCATCAAGGTACTGATCAGACTCGACGTTGCTTAACTTCGGTGATCGTACGAGAACCAGTTTTTCAACGCGATATGACCCTAAGCCGTGACCTGATCTGAACATGCCCATATTTTAGACACATATCCATAGAGTATGTTATATATTTTTTAAAGCAAGTGAATGTTTTCAAAATAAAATTGGTATTAATCATCCGATATGCTACAAGTTTCAGCATATATTTATATGGTAAGTATTTATATGGTAGCTATTTATATGGGAAATGTATCGCGGAGCTTACAATAATTTATTCTATTAAAAATATTTATAATAACTAATTTAGCAAAAAGTCACAAGTCATCGTGGCTGAGGGCTTGAGCATACTGGCCTTGTTCAAATTGTTTAACACACTCTTTCCCAGAAACTGTAACTAAGGTCTGCTCAGCATAGCTGCTGTATAAACCACAGGTGGGCTCTGTGGGTGTTGAATAAACAAAGATGCGCCTGAGCAAGCGTCTGCAATAGGGATTGGTTAGCCACCCTTGTAGACGGGTATCTTTGAATAGGAGTGGCCAGCATACATGCATGCATATTTAATAGTCTCGTTATCGATAATTATTTTTTAATTTCAGGTATATAAAAATAGCCATGGTTCATAAATCTATAAGCTCAAAATAGAAAGAAGATATTGTAAAGTTAGAGTGATGTGAGAAAATTCACAAAAGAAATGAAGATTGTCAAGGAGGAGAAAAACTGGCCTTAAGAATATTATGAAAAGAGATTTGAGAAGTTTTGTCTATCATTTCACCTCAAGCAAGGCAATAATGCCACTAAGACTCAATAGGCTACTGAGACGGCTCAGTTTCTCCAGCTATTTGATCCATAGTTAGGGGAACAATAGAGAGAGTCGTTCTTTTCACCATTTGTATGAAAAGAAACGCAAAGAACTCGGTCGGAATTTGACATCGGCACGCCGATAACCGTTACACTACGCGCCCATCACGCGATATATTTGCTCATAGGAATCTAAGTATATTCTGAACGGTCTTTTTAGAGACATTGGTTGGTTAATACCAATTTTATAGCGAATATATTGACTTTGAGTAATAAAATCTGATATCGTGCATAGGAAAGCTGGTTTGGTTTCGTTGTTTTTCTAACCGGCGCAAAGTAATCAATGTCTAAGCCCAGATAAAAGCCAGTATAGGTGTCATGTGTACCCAACGAACAGCTACAACAAGTAAGCCGGTGATAATAACATTTAAATTTGCAACTTCTAAAGAATAGAAAAAATAAAAGAAACTTTAATATTAGTATCAACAAATCATATATTTTCTTTATCAGTTTAAATAAAAAAAAGACATCATGATCTTATTAAGTGGACAGTTAGATAATTTGTTTCCACCCATTATTACAGCTGCAAGACTTAAACCACTTAACGTTCTAAACAGAGAAAATCTCTTTATTTTTAAACTTTATTTTTTAAGAGTCACTGAATCAGGTTGCGTGAAACATGTTCGTTTTATAAGGGGACAGGAAGTCTTGGCAGTTCACTTGGTCTTTTCATAGCGTTTTATAACCAATTCTCATGTAGGAGAGGCTTTAAAACGCTCATTTTAATAAACAATATATCCGTAAAAATTCTGTTCTAAAATTAATTTGTCTATTAGACATATTTCCTGTTACGTGGGAACCTCGACGTGGTGTAATGGTTAACAAGCTAAATCAATTACTACTGAGATGGTGAGTGCCACATACATTCGGCCTTGCACAATATCTAAGCTACACTTAAATCACCATATATTGGGCATTCGACGTGGTGTAATGGCTAACAAGTTTGCCTCTCTAAATCATTTACTATTGAATAGTGGATTCGGTCCTTCATAATTTCGGCCTTGTGCCACATTTAAGCTACGTTTAGAAAATCATCATTTTTCTTGTTACGGGAGAAATATTTTTCTCGTTAAAGAGAAATAAAATATACAACTATTCCGTTTTCAATTTAAATTATATTTAACACAATTTTACATCGAATGCTTACTTTGGGGCACTTCAGTTTAACGGGTGCCCGGAAAATTTGGTAGTTTTAACAAGGTAGGAAAATTCAGTAACTATGAAATAAAAGTCGATTGAAAATTGATTTTAGGGCCGTCGTTCTGGAGTGTGGATTTGGGGACTAAGCCCCCTCCTCTATATTTTTGAAATAGAAATGAGGCTATATAATTTTTGCTTCTTTAAAAAGAAATAAGCATCTAAAACTTAATTTATTTATATTTTTATTAAAATAGTAATTTGAAAAGAAATTAGATAAATCAATTTTACTTGCTTGAAAACAATAGAGTATATTAATTAAATATTTTAAAATATTGGAGGTGGCTATAGACCCCTATCCAGAAAGTATGGCCCTGGTATCATTTCAGTGGGTTTTTATCTGGACTGAAAGCCATGACTTATTTTAGTTAATACTTATTTAAATGTATGGGGTGGGGGAGATAGCCCCATCCAGAAAGTACTGCCCTGGTATTGTCATAGTGGGGTTTTATCTAGACCCCCATAGTTAATAATACTTTTTAAACAATATTAGGGAAGGAGGCCTTGCCCTCTAAGCACCCTCTTCTGCAAGTACGGTCCGAGTATTGTTGTAGTGGGGTTTTATCTGGACCCCACGATTTTCAGTTATTTAAAAATATAGAGGAGGGTCTCTAAAATCAATTTCGGTTATGCACTCTTGGATGATAAGTGCGAATTTGTAAACAATGACTATTACTACTAATATTACACGGCTCTTCCTCTTCTCTAGAATTGAGCACTATCAGTCATTGGCTTGTTCATTCAGAGAGTAAGTACGTAAAAATTTGTCTTTCTTTCAATTGCGCGCCGATGGCTTAGGTGGAAAATCTCCGACTGTGGACGAATCAGTCGGGTTTCTAACCACAGTGAAACAGTCTGTCTGTGAATGACAATATATATATAAATTAGTAACACATTCAAAAGGATAATTTAATAAATTATAAGCGGGATAAAAAATAGTGATCAATACAAAAGTAAACTTGTAGAGCGAATTATATCTTTAAAAACTAGACATTAGGCGGTCTGAAACCACGGTTGCGTCCTTTTAGTATGTGTGTATATATATATATATATATATACACGTGTGTTTGTACAGATAGGTTTTGATACCAGAATGGTGGCTGATGCAATTGTGTATTTCGTTAGATATCGAACGCAGTTTTCGTGGTAGACGGTCCTTCCCTCCGGGGGAGATTAGCTTAATAAGATTTGCTTACTCTTAAAGCAATTAGTGCGTTTGTGTATTTGTAAAAACCGTTATATCTATATCGTATAGATATCTATCCAGAGTTATGTATGACGGTTATCGATGCCAGGTAGAAAAACATAATTTAGATTTTGAATTTTCAAGACGGACAAAGCATTTTAATTTGAAATATCGGCACCACACAATTCCTCTCCCCGCTGTAGCTGTGCCTTAAGATGCGCGGCTTTCTAATGTCGGGAATTTATTAAAATTTCTGAGGGCGCGAAAAAACAAACAAAAAAACAAAACAAAAAAAACTGGCGTTGCAAAACGTAAAATTGAATTGTCTGCATTTCTGTCTATACGTACTGACGAGCCTATTTTATTGCGGTTTACTTACCCCATTCGGGTATTTGTTTACACGGATCTTGGCATCTTGAAATACAGATCTGTATTCCTGGGTGCGCACAAAATCGCTGAAGTTCAGTCGACCTGGGACTACGTGATACAATGCGGTAGACTCACTCACAACTCTGTGAAAAACGAACCAAACAATTGAAGTAAGAAATAAAATTCGAAAAAAAAAGGAAAAATTGAAAATGAAAGTGAAAGTAGAAAAATGCGTGAGAAAAGTCCAGTAATCAACACTGAAAAAAAATAAAAATATATACCCTGATGTCCGAATGCTATCTGAGATAGCATCATCGCTAGGAACGAAGATCGTGTACGCCTGGTTCTTTTTTAGGTTTCTTTGGAAACTCTTCTTTCTGGCAAATTGGGAGAAGTGCTTCAATCGTAGATTCTCGGCTGTCTTGACCAAGTCATCCAAAGGTTTACCTTACGAAAATGGATAAAAATATTAGTTGATAAACAAGAGATTTCTGTCCAAGTTTTCTATATTAACTAAAATTACCAAATACGTGTCTTCCCTCTATCTTCTCTATAAATATTTTCATGGCAGTTATTCCAATGATATTCTCTTCTTTGGCACCTCGGCCGCATGAATTTAAGCATACTACTAGATTGCCTACTAGATTTCATCCTTTTATTGTTGTACTATTACTAGATGTAAACCGTAAGTTCTATTCTTATAGTTTCTTTATTCGAACTCTCTTCCGGTTTCTTGCTTCCCTACCATTTACAACCTCCAAAACGTTAAGTGCAAGATCAATCGCCATCTTGTGCTTCCCTGAATCCTGTTCTTTTATTATTCTTTCCCCTCGCTAAAGTTTTCTCATTCTTCTAGCCTCAATAACCCCTTGCGTCTTAGTGGCATTATAGCCCTGCATGGGGTGACATTATTAAAAGAAAAGTAGCTCGAATTTAGACTAAACTTGGTTTAGTAGCTTTGTCACGATAAACTTGGGAAGTTCTTTTTCAAGATGCGACAATTTAATTCCCGGAATTGTCCCGTGAATGAAATCTTACCTGGCCAGTGTTACCTTCAAAATAACCTTGTTATGCTGTGCAACTTTTGAGACTATCATGCCATTGCTGGAAACATTCTTGGAACTTTTTTTTATCGGAATACTTTTCAATAATCTAGTCATGTATTGCTGGATGTCAAATGAATAAGGTAGATGCCATATAGCTGTAATGGGTTATTTAATCAGGAACTTGCAAAATCTTAACGCCTTCTATCTCTAATGAGTGAAAAAATGAGACGGCTCAGTTTCTCCAGCTATTTGATCCATAGTTAGGGGAACAATAAAGAGAGTCGTTCTTTTCACCATTTGTATGAAAAGGAACGAAAAGAACTCGATCGGAATTTGACATCGGCACGCCGATAACCGTTACACTACGCGCCCATCACGCGATATATTTGCTCATAGGAATCTAAGTATATTCTGAACGTTTTTTTTTAACGATATGGGTTGGTTAATACCAATCTTATAGCGAATATATTGACTTTGGGTAATAAAATCTGATATCGTGCATAGGAGAGCTGGCTTGGTTTAGTTGTTTTTCTATCCGGCGCAAAGTAATCAGTGTCTGAGCTCAGATAAAAGCCAGTATAGGTGTCATGTGTACCCAGCGAACAGCTACAACAAGTAAGCCGGTGATAATAACATTTAAATTTGCAACTACTAAAGAATAGAAAAAATAAAACTTGGTTTAGTAGCTTTTTCACGATAAACTTAGGAAGTTCTTTTTCAAGATGCGACAATTTAATTCCCGGAATTGTCCCGTGAATGAAATCTTACCTGGCCAGTGTTACCTTCAAAATAACCTTGTTATGCTGTGCAACTTTTGAGACTATCATGCCATTGCTGGAAACATTCTTGGAACTTTTTTTTATCGGAATACTTTTCAATAATCTAGTCATGTATTGCTGGATGTCAAATGAATAAGGTAGATGCCATATAGTTGTAATGGGTTATTTAATCAGGAACTTGCAAAATCTTAACGCCTTATATATCTAATTTCTCTGTTAGAATGTACAGCAACGTTTCCTTATATATATTCACTTCTGCTTCTGTAGCACACTTAATCATCAATCTGAGGGTACGAAGGTTCACAATCTGTCCACATTTGCATCTGTTCATTGTGTGGCTGGCGAATGGAAAGAAAGGGTTAAAAACTAAAATATAGTTTGGAATAAGACGAAAAGGGTTAAAGAATAGAACGATGGACATCTTGAATGAAGAAAAAGAGATTTCTTTTTATTTCCAAAATCTTTTTCTTTTCAGGGCAGTGCAAATATCTTTGGTAACGGTATGAATCCATTTCTTCTCTCCCTAGCTATGGGTTAATTATTAAGACTTGTATTACTAAACCATTATTATTTCCCCAAAAGAATATATATATATATATATATATATATATATAATCGAAACATATTTTCTGGCATTAAATAACCTGCAAAGGGTTGATAAGCCGTACAAAACAAATCAATCATTCAGTAAAAAAATACTTCGACATTAAATAACTTACATAGCTGATATACCGTTGAAACAGAACAAGCAATCGATCAATAAAAGACAGGTAGGCGTTCCCTCATGCTAGATTGTTACAAGAAAAAAATTCCAACCTCTGTAGCAATGAGTACATTCAAGTACTTGAAAGATCGACAATAATCGCTTGATATTATCTGCTTCTATAGATCTGTTTAACTTCGTTTCTGATGCAACCAGCTTATATAACTCTTACAAAAGTATTTGACTTTCAATTATTACTTAAAACACCTGTTGAAGGGATACGACTGTAGGACCGTTAAATTAGTTAAAATAAAAAAAAATATTTTTCTTTTCTGCAAAAAAATTAATTCAAATTAAATTGGCAATCGAACAAAACAAATGTTTTTAGATTTGTTTCTTTAAATTTAGAAAAAATTCACCCCATAAGTTCAAGATTAAGGTTGATATTATTTTTGAGTTAGAAGAAATAAACTGTTACAAAAAAAATTAACGAAAAGAATTCAAACTACAGTCGAGGTCAGTGACATTTTGTTGCAGTTAGGAAAGAAATATATTCGAATCCCATCATCAGTCATCTAATTATTCTTGTAATAGGTATAAAAAAAATAGTGTATAAATATCTGTAATATGCACACAATATCAAGATTTACTTTCTTTGGAACGAGCCGAATCAGGCTGCTATACCTATTGGCAATAAAAATGGTGAATTTAGTGAAATATTAAATTTTAAAAAAGAAGATGTTATTGAAAAAAATAAAAAAGAAGTTTTACTTCCTGTACATCCGGGTTCTCCAGGTATCTTTTCGTATCCCGGACAACATTGGAGGCGGACAAATCTGAATAACAAAATAGACATAAAAATGCAATAAAATCTTGTGTTATTCCATGTGTAAGTAAGATTCAGATATCAAAATAAAGATACATGCTTTCATATGTAATGCTGAATTCTGTTCTGGTTGACAAATTGTGTAAGCGTTTTTAACGATTAAACGTGCACATGTAAATAAATATATAGATATTTACTAAACTTGACATTACTACACTGGGGTGGAGCAAGTAGGAAGTCTGCACTAGCGAAGTTATTTAACCGCTGCTTGAAGGAGAAATCCTTCCCAAGCAAGTGGAAAGTGTAATACATATGCTCGGTCTTCAAGAGCCCGGGCAAGCGCCCCCCCCCCGTCTCAGTATAGAACCATCAATTTGCTCAGTATCATTAGTAAGTTTTTTGAAGCTATAATTATCAAGAAAGTCGTCGAGCATCCAGATAAGAACAACCTCTTCAGCGACAAGTAGTACTGGTTTGGATCAGCCCGAACCACAGCTGATGTCCTAACTACCATTACTCACAGAATTAGTGAGGCTCTTAACGACAAATACACCTCAAGGACCATAGAATTAGATATTTGGAATGCTTTTGACAAGGTGTGGCACAAAGGTTTGTTGCTCAAGCTCGCCACTTATGGAATCACTGGAAGGGTCTTCAAAATTATAAAATACTTTCTGACGGATAGGTCCCTGAAAGCAGTTATTAACGGCGTGTCCTCCGAGACCCTAGCAATTAACGTAGGCGTCCACTCAACCAGGTGTCACTCTTCGGACCAACCTTCTTCTTACTTTATAAAAATGATCTGCCTAAGAATATAATCAGATAATTGGTGAATATCTATGCCGATGATAAGACGATATACAAGTGCACCGCGAAAACTCGTGATGATCAGAGATTGGCAGCTACTTTCATCCGATCTTGTTCTAACTTCTCTATGGGAGGGAGAAACTGTCTAGTTACATTTAATGCCTCGTAAACCAAATTAGTTACATTTCATCATCGCATATCGGGCCCGGAACTACTACCAACCACGATGAATGAATATTCCCTCGGGGAGGCTACGTGTCTTGAGAGACTGTTGGGCCTTAAACACACACCTGACGTCAAGTGGAAATCGTACATACGATACTTCGTTAAAGATGCAGGAAATAGTCAGTTTCCTGTACCGCTCCAAGTAAGTACCTGACTCCACTCCTTTTACCTTTACAGATCAAATGAAGTATTGTTGCCATATTTGGGCAGGAGCTGCCCAGACCTCAATTTTCAGTCTCGACAGAGTCCAAAAACGTCTCAGAGTCCTTGTAGGTGATAAATTATTTTCCACCCTCTCTTTCACAGGCGGGACGTGGTAAGCCTCTTACTGCTCTATTGTGACTTCCATAGTAGGTGCTCGGACGAACTCCATTCCTTAGTTCCACCAGTTAGAACCTTCAATGGCTAGGACCCGCCATTCCACCCACATTGTAGTGAACCACCCATATTCTCTCCGTATTCCATTGGGGAGTAGTAAGTTCCTTACGAACAGTATCTTCCTGCGAACTACTGCTCTGTGGAAACGACTCCCAAGAGGATGTTTCCCCGATCACTACACGCATAACCGTTTCAGGTCAAGGGTTAACCGTTATATTCCCCCCCCCGACGCACATAAACATTATAACAACGATTCGGTTGGGTAACCTACAGGGAATTATTAACTGAACCTTTTATTTAAACTACGAGAGTAGACTGTTCAAGAACTATACGATATCCCTAGAGACAGACAGTCTACTCGCTTAAAACTAATACAAAAATACTACCATGCAACTACATACGCAATATACAAGGCAGATAATGTAAAATACTAAAACTTTAAACTAAAATAAGATAACCAACCGCTGAAAAAAAAAATAAAAAAGTAAATAAATAAAGTAAATAATAATAAACAAATTAACAAACTCCGACTTCACACATAAGCAGAAGTAAATATAATAATAATAATAATAATAATAATAATAATAATCAACTACAAATAATTAAGTAATCAACAATAGATGAAAATATTATTAGGTTGGTGCAAAAATAATGACGTAATAATGTCGTTTTTTGACGTTAAAAAATACGTCCAAAAACGACATTATTACGTCATTATTTTTGCACCAGCACAACAGCACACGAGATTTGATTATATTGGTGAAGGTTTCGTGCAGGACCATCCACACTTTTTGAAGGGCCGAATACAGAGACTTGGTGCATTACGTGCCACAAGGTCCTCCGTAGGCTTTGAATTCAGAGCTGTCCTTCTCCTAGACCAGTTGCTATAGAACCCAGTCTGTCCTGCTATTTACCCATAGCTGGAGGGAGAAGAAGAGTATTAGCACGACTGGAATTTGAACTCAGCTCTCCAATTCCTCAATCCGTGCCTCCTTATATATATTGTGTGTATTTAGGCAGCATTTTTTCATTGATTCATGTTTCATTAAATAATATAGACGAGTGTTGTCTATTTATTTTATGTAAATTCTTTTCATATCGTCTGATAAGCTTAATAATATTATCATTAAAAGAAGAAAGAAAATCACAATATTTATACATATTTTTTAATCCAATCTAAGCTGTCGGCTTACATAAGTCATTATCAAAGATGACAATTACATTAAAAAAATATTAAGCAATACATGGACAAAACAGTGATGATAGTCTGTTTCTGTTTACATGGAAGATTTCCAAGCAACGACAAACTCGTGCATATATATATATATATATATATTATTATTATTATTATTATTATTATTATAATAGATTATAATAAAACATGTTGAAATCGATACACAAAAGCTTTCATGTTTCGATAATTTGAGTGTACTTCTTTATCTGATCGTAGGTAACTGGTGATTAAATGATTTTAGAGAAAATTTAAAACAAAGTGTTACCATTCTTCCGAAATTTAACTTTCGGAAAAATGGTAACAATGGGGTCGGTGGGAAAACATAAAGTCAGAATTAAAAATAGACTTAAAAATAAACAAGTTTATTTTTAGTTCTGATCCGATTTTTTTTTTTTCATACCCCTTTAACTTTCTGGAAAGGGGTAACACTTTGTTTTAAATTTTCTAATATATATATATATATATATATATATATATATATATATATATATATGAAAACGAAAGAATATTAATCTAAAACCCAGTGTGTCTGAAGATTTTAATTTTTAATATCTTTTTATTGTTCAATATATATATATATATATATATATATATATATATATATAGAGAGAGAGAGAGAGAGAAATTAATGCAAGTAATAGGGTTTTCACTTAGCTGATTCATGTTACCTTTGAGTATTCCGATATATATATCATATCGATATATATATATATATATATATATATAGAGAGAGAGAGAGAGAGAGAGAGAGAGATCTCGTTATAACAGCATCCGATATATATATATACATATATATATATATATATATATATATATATATATCTATATATATATATATATATATATATATATATATATATATATATATATATATATATATATATATATATATATATATATATATATACGAGCACAAACAATACGGGAAAAAAACTTACACCAATGATAAGTGCACAAAAAGGAAAAATCGATAAATATAAGCAGTCAATTTTGATACTCGCCGAAGAGTGAACGGACAGGTAACATCAGTCAGCTAAGTGACAAACTTTTACTTATATATATATATATATATATATATATATATATATATATATATATATATATATATATATATATATATATATATATATATATGGGGAATTGCTCTGGGAATTTAACTACATTGTCGACATGGAAAGAAAAAAAACTGTTAGTATAAAGGAAATTTATATTAACCAGAAAGAGTCTTTTACATAAGCGTCTCTCTTTTTTAATTTTGGATTTTGTATTGTATTTATAACAACAAAAACATTTCGATTCCATTTTTGCCTTGAAAAAGTCGGAAAACGAAACGCGTTGGCAAAAAACTAAGTTTTTTTCCAATTGTCATCTTGTACCAATTTGTCATCCACAGAATTGATCAATCTCTCTCTCTCTCTCTCTCTCTCTCTCTCTCTCTCTCTCTCTATCTATCTATCTATCTATATATATATATATATACGCTAGAATAAACAAACAGAGTAATATTTTTTAAAATCGTATGTATTAAAAGTGCTCAATTTCAAGTTGGATAACCAAAGCTGCAGAGCGATTTAATATTTTAAAAGGATATGAATGCTGACCAGAACACTATGGCGGTTTCGACCGCCAGGTCTCGTTCAGATGGTTTGTTCTTCACCGAATCAATGAAATGCAGCTCATATATATATATATATATATATATATATATATATATATATATATATATATATAGTTGAGAAAGTTGATGAGGATTCGAATTTCTGGCTTTTAATTTTAGCTTGGGCATCGATTAGTATTGTAAAATACGCAAGTATCTGCCATCAAGCAAAGAAAAATGTTGAAGATTTGCTAAAACAGGACTTATTTTAGAAGGATGGAAATGCCTGTCAAAGAATCCTTTCCAAAAAGGTATTTTTGCAAACATTTAAATACCATTCGTTCATTAAGATAAAATATCTCACCTATTCTAAGCCCCCCACCACCTGAGATATTTTTTTATGTCGTGCTTATGTCAACCCCACCCCGCTTATTAGATTGTGTGATTTCTAAGAGAACTTAGAATCTTATCATCGGGTGTTTATCAAATAATGGTAAAAATGGTACTATATATGAATAACATTTGGATGAGAATCTTACTAAACCGGTGCCGAAACAGTGCGGGACATGAAAGCCGTAAAACAAATGCATATATAAATAATTTAAATTTGATCTAAAGTAGCGATGTCTTGTCGTCTGTCTTTGTTAGAATGATAACGATGATCCAACTTTTATCTAGAGTATTATAACGAATATATCATTTAGTGGAATAATGATGTGGATTTTTTTCTTTAAAATAAAAATAAAAATTAAAACGTATTTTTATTTTATTTCATAATATTTTACTCTG